TTTGCCTGTTTTTAAAGCTCTCACTGGGTTCGCATCAGTATGTAAATGGCGAGAACCACAGGCATATTAGGATTAAGAGAGAGACACAGAGCAGTGCTGCCGGAACATTGATTTCTATGCTTGGAACAAAAAGGCTCTGGGAGGATTACAGCATAAATGTCTCTTTTTCCTTTTCTTCTTCATTTCTACACTACAAATGCTCCCCAGTCTTCCTCTGCGCTCTAGCTACTGCATAAACAGAAATTGTTTGATTATTTGTTTGTTTTAATGTGAGAGAAGCATACCAACAGTCTGTCCTAGTCATTCTGATGCTCACTACTTTTATCCTCTATGAGATGCCTGTCTCTTTGAAAAATATGATAAAGTACAGAGTATCCTGTCTCAGTAGACATGGAAATGTTATAGTTTTAGGTTAATTTTAAACCATCATACAGTACTGTACAAAAATCAGAGACCACCCTTCGATTATTTGATTTCCAGTCAAAATGATTATGAAGTACAAGTGAATAATTTTTGAGAAGATATTTCTGAGGAGATTAGAACAATCATAAAGACCTAATAGACCACCAAAACTGTCACCATCAGATAAACGATACTGAAACCTCTCATCTTAAAGAGACCAAATAAAAAAAAAAGTTCCACTTTTGCTTCATATCTAAAAAAAAAAATCCACAGGTGTTTCTGTCCATCCTCCGACTGTGAGAAGTCAGCTCAACACTATGAGTCTGAAGATGTGTAGCTGTCAAGCTTTTACTGAGAAAGAAAAAAATGTACAAATCAAACAAAGAAGCTGCTGGTGTTCTCGGAACAATGGACTGACCACCCCAGAGTCCAGACCTCAACATCACTGAATGTGTTTGGGATTACTTGGATCTTTAAGAGCACAAAATGCAAACTGCAAAATGCAAACTTCTAAGACTGAACTTTGGAAAATATCCCTGCAGATTTCTTTGAAAACTCTCCTGAAAAGAATGGAAGCTATACTAAAGGCAAAGTTTGGTCAGAGTAAATACTGAAAATTTTATTTTATATTTAGTTGTTGAAGTGTCTGTATAATTGTTTTTTTTTCCAAAGCTGAAAAATGAATACATTGTACTTAATGGCTGTTTTGACTGGGCATAAATTAAGAGTGGTCTCTGACTTTTGCAGAGTACTGTATATATGTAGCAAATGGATAATGAAGTCTTGACAGTACCTTTTTTTAGCTTCACACACCTTTGTAAAGCCTGAGTATTTAATATTGTTCTTAAAGCTGTATGTATGTTGTATATAAGGCTGAATTCAACTAGCAAAAATCATTTTCAGTTTTTAGTTACAACAGTGGAGAATGAATGAGATAAATCTGTGTGCATTCATACTGTTATAAATACTAGGCATGAGTCTGACCCTACATGTGCTCTACTTTCCCACAGGGTACCTGCTTGTGTCAGGCCTTATCAGCTTTATTTTCTGCTACAAACATGGTCCAATTACCAACAGGCGCACACTAAACCTGATGACCTGGGGTCTGCAGGCTGTAGCCATGGTGGTGGCCTGCCACGGAATCACCTACGCCCCTATTTCCTGGATGCTACTGGCCACGCTGCTGTGCTATAAGATTGTGCCTTTGGTGTTGGCCATACTGCTGGGGATATGGAGGTACTGAGATTTGACTGCATCATGAAACAGTGTCCTGTACACTGTCGGTTTTTACTGGTCTTGCTTTTTTCCAATTGTCAACACACCCAGAGGCAGAATTTGGGTAAGGAAACTCCCAAAACAATTATTTTCCTGATAACTCGTAGGTAGGAACTTCAAACCATAGCAGACACTTAACTGTTTCCTTGTAGTCCTAGTATTACTGGATTCATAAGTATGGGCCCATCGTCCCACAGGCCTGCAGCAGCTGTGCTTCAGTGACTGGTTATAGTCAGGTCCTAACATAATTGCTGCAAATGGCAGCTTAAATTTTTAACTATAAAAATGGATTTGAACAAGGCAGAGACTTCAGCAGAAATGGGTACCACTGAGCAGATGCCTGTTTCCTTGGCCAAGATATAGTAAGTCTATGGTGAAGAATGCAGAGTACTTGGCAAAGGTGTTTTGCCAGCAGGAATAGAGCAAAAACATAGAGCATGTAGTGACCCTGAGGACTATGATTGGAATGTTGGAATGATGTTGTCATTAAAGGTCTAGATTTGACGATGTCTACTCTAAATTATGGAATACATTTAACTTTGAGGCAAGATCCCCTATCAGGAGTAGAATTAATAAAAGAAATTAAGGTAACACTTCATGTGAACCCTGTTACATAACACTGACAATTGTGCCATAAACAAGTCATGATAAATGTCACATGCTGTCATAAACTGTTATGACAGATTTGCTCAGTAATGTTACTATTAATGGTAATTATTATGACAGATGCCATATTCTATAGTGTCATAACAGCGTATGTCACATGCAGACAGTTAGCTATCTTGGCATCAAACGTTGTCATAATGTCATGACAATTAATGGCAATAGTCACGCAATGCTGTTGTATCACTGGATATAATCTGTCATAAGTCATGACAGTGTGTATCTGCCATGACATGTTTATGACATAGTTATTGGTCTTATCAAAATGAATTACAAAGTCATATAAAAAAAAAATCAATAAAGTTTCTGTTTCCAAGCTAATTAATTCATTTAATCCATGTGAAAATTTTAATATGATCCCAATATCCTGCTTAGTGTCTGTTAACTTAACATTTGCCTTTCTATCCCCAGTCAAATATGTTGGCTGCTGAGTCTCTTCCGGAGCAGGAGGCACCCGAAAACCAGGCTGCTGACGGAGGAGGAGTACAGGGAGCAAGGGGAGAGACACACTAAAGCCTCTCTGGAGGAGCTGAGGAAATACTGCAACAATCCTGGCTTCCCTGCATGGGACACCGTACTAAAACTCCGCGCTCCACAAAGGTAATACGGACTATTTAAAGATGTTTTAACATTACTTCAGTTGTAAGTTCAGATGGAAGTAACAGCATGCAGTCTTTACCTATGCATGAACGGTTGTGCAAGGAAGCGTGGCAGGGTTCAGTCCAGGACTTGGACTTGAGTCATTTTTTTTGGTGACTAGAATTGGACTCGATTACGTGTGACTTATACTTTGACTCAACTCGACTTGACCTTGAGGTTTACTAAGCAGGCTACAGCACTTGTGTGTCTTTTATTCCGATGCTGCATTCTAAGACTATATTCATACTAGAAGCTTGAATTAAATTTTTTTTAGACCAGATCCAATATTTCCGCCTTGGCAGCCCACGTTTGCATTTGTAAGTGACCCATATATGTCATTAGCGTGAACACATCTAGCTATGCCCTAAAAAGACCTGCATGCGCACAATTTGTCATCAAATTAGCCACTGCTGACACGCTGCCCACACTGGATGATGACCACAGCGATATACACAGGCGCAATGAAGTGTGATGGGGGAAAAAATTAATTCTGATCTAGGGGTGAAACAATGCATTTGTGACCTTGTGAAACTGCAATGCCACACTGTGATAATGTGCATTTTGGCGAATGGACTATTAATTATGACATCTAATGCAATTTCTTCGTTTGAACATCTAAGTTTGCAAATTAAGAGCAGCTCCTTCCAACACTCTTTCAGCTCTGTTTTTGACCAGCTGTTCTTTACACTGTCTTAACTCACATACAGGTTTGCTGAGTTCTTGCGCAGTGGAGCCCATGTCACTGCCTCTGAGCAGCAGAGCCATGAGCAGCAGAGCCATGAGCAGCACTTCGGTCTGGTAGAGGAGTATGACGAAAATGCACTCTTGAACTCGGCCAAGTCATCGCCCACATCGGAAGACCTCAGCGAAAATGCGCTACATTCATACTCGCACAACCCTCCGACTCCTAGCCCCTTCAGTTCCCTTCCTGCCCTGCCCAGCCCACCTGCCTATGGAGGTCCAATCTGCCCATACCCCCCTACTCCCTTCCCCCCACTACCACAGCTTCCCTTCACCGAAGAAGACGACGAGCCCTTCTGACAGAAAACAGACTTTAACACAAAATCCTTTTACTCTCGTTCTTTTTCATTGAAGCGATTACTGGATCACTCTGTAGGATAAAACACATCAGAAGAGTGTTTCTCTCAGAAGAACAGCTATTGTATTATCAGGAATGTACTGTCAGGCCGTGTTTTTCTCTTTTTCTTTTGTTTTAAATCATCTCCTTCAAGAGACTCTCTGGGATTTTAGCTTTTCAGCAGCGACTTGATGCTTAATTTCTTACTTTTAGCCCTGAGATGTATAGACATTAGGTCTCAATAGGGCTGGGAACACTGCTGTTTTGTATAAATGTTAATAACGGCTTGAATGTTTACTGTACTTGTCTGAAGTACATCAGAATCATGAGGCCGTTTTTTTGTTATTCAGGGAAATACTGCCCTCCAGTGTCTGCCTGGGTAATAACCACTCAAACAAATCCACACTCCCATCAGCAGTGCATTGTGGACTAGGGCTGAACGATTTGGGGAAAACGTCTAGTTGTGATTTTTCTAACCAATATTCTGATTGCGATTTAAATCTGGATACTTTCTATATATTAAGCTCTGGGCATTTTTTGCCAAAAAGACCAGCATATAAATTTTTCTGACTTTGAACACTGAATGTTATGTTATGAATGTTATTAGGTTAGTTATTAGGTTAAATTTCTCCACATAAAACTTAAGACAACTGTAAATAATATAATTAAAACTGCAGCTATTACTCTTTGAAAATTGCACTTTTTCAAACTGCAATTTTGATATGACAATTATTAATTGTTCAGCTCTAGTGTGAACAAATTGTCTGCCCTCCTTTCAGTTTGGTTGTATATGCTTCTTACCATAAACTGTAATCTCTCCTTACATATCCATTTTACATATTTTTAATGAAAATATACATTTTAGAGCAAGTTTTTATTATTTTTTTATTTTTTGTCTTATTTAATAAATACAAATGACATTGTAATTTCAGATGTCAAAGTGTATTATTACCGTTGCATTACATGTAAACATCTTGTTCTTGTACTGGGAGATAAATTAAGGTGCTGTATTTGTATATAACACACATGAAGTTTTAAGAAAACCCAGATGGGCTTATAAGGACGGACTGTGAGCTCATCAGTCAGTCTTTTACATATCTGAATTACGCTTACAATGAAAAGCTATGCACTGTCACTGCCAGAATTTGGTGCTTATTCTACTTAAGTGTTTCTGGGATACATTCTAGCTGCATGTGGACAGTTTGACTGCACAAATGGGATCACAGTACATACACAGAAGCTCCCATACTCAAGCTGATTAATTTGGCTTGCCGGTTCTTCTAATCATCCTGAAGGGCAACTGATAACTTTCCATTCTTTGCGTCCGTTTGGTCAGTGTGCTTTGAGCTTAATCACTTCATTCATCTTTAAAAACATTCCTAGCTTTGCCACAAGGTTTGATACTTAGACAGTCAGTACAGGGCTACAAAGTGGGGACCAATGCTACAAACACCCACAGGCGGCAGTGCAAAGCATATTTAAAGGGCAGACTAAATGGACAAAGCAGCCCTTACAACAGATAAATACACCTGACATCTGTTCTTTGGTCCAAAGTTCATGTCTTTATATTTTAAATCCATTTCCATTGTGGACAGATTTGACCCTCAATTTGAGAGTTCACTCTTCATTTGTTTGGGGTAGCTGTTGGGGAGGCTGTTCTGGTTCAGTACTGGGGGTCTCTACAGCCTCCTCATTATTAGTGACAGCTTGTGGGTCTTCTGTTGATTCGCCAGCATCTGTCTGATGTGAAGCACTCTGATCGCTCTGATCAGAAACTGGCTGATCGGGATCCTCGTTTGCCGAGGCTTGCTCTGGTGCAGTGGGAGGCTCGCTGGATTGGTTTGGAGCCTCTCCAGCAGATGGCGCTGTGGACTCCTGTTCACTGCTCTCCTACAAGCAAAGGACACATCAGAAAGTCAGGCTTTAACTACTTAAAGGGGAATTACACCAATTTAAAAACAAAGAATGACTACTACACCGTTCTACAGCAACTTGCTGCCTCAGATTCTTTATAATGGCACTGATAGGAACCAGAAATCACTTTATGACATGAATATTTTATTTACTATCCAAAACCAGTGAGCCTACACGTCTTGTGAGTTTTCAATGTTGATAATGGTATAATGTTGGACAATCGTTTTCTTAAGGTATTAGTTTGCTGTACAACTCCCAGTGTGCACCACTCCAATCATAAATGAATGAGTAAAATACAGGCCAAAATCTCTCAAAACTATCACAAAACAATGTCTCAGGCATCAGGCAGTGTTTCAGTAACTATTTACTGTAATAACTTTCAGTGAGGAAGCTTGAAAGGCATTAAACTCCAGAGAAGCGTTCGGTTCCTATCACCACCACTGTGAACTATTTTGACTTGTTAAATTTCTCTAGAACAGAGCATTTCACACCAAACCACTGAGTGACTTTATTTACATCTTACCGAATGAATTAGGCAGAAAATCAGTAGAATCTTCTTTAAATGAGGATTGTTCAGTAGAAATATCCCCTATTCTATTAGATGACTTTTAGCTTTAAGCTTTAAGTTCTCTATGAAATATCCCAACTGGACGCATTGCTGCGAGCAGAAGCTGTGAATTATTTGTGTGTCTGTGCTTTTGGCTTCTGATAAACTGCAGATAATTATTATGCACTTCTGACTCTGTAGAGTGACTGACTAATGGATCCGATATTGTAACCTACATTTAGTGATACGGCTGTCTCACTGCTCTGGAGCAGACACTCTTCCACAGGAAAAGAATGATTTCTACGCGACTGTATTTACAACATTAGTGGACTAAGTAATGCAGCAACAATACAGTGCATGTTACTGTTTAAAATGAGGATCACTTCTACTAAAAACTTGGCTTGTTGCTTATTGAGCTGAAGGAATGAGGTGAACGCTGGTCACCCCTCGGCTCTCCTTCATCCCAAAATTACAAGAAAAGGTTGGAGTTCGAAACAAAAAAAGCTTGAGCAGGAAAATGAAGCACAGAACAAACAGAACTCGTGAGTGGAAGGAGGCCAGACTTCAAGACACTTTATCAAAGAGTTTCCATGATAAGACATCAGAGGACAAATATAGCATCTGCGGTTTATTTTCGCTAGTAAGACAGACACGGTGTTAATGAAATGTTCCAATAAGCAGTTACATTCACTTGTGGTACGATGATAAATCAGAACAGGAAATGTGTAGACAGAGCAATGCAGCGCTACTCAACACAGTAAAGGTAGCACCACTGTTACAGACTGTTAGTGAACACACAGCCAAAGAACATAAAAGAAGGTTTTCTCACCTTTCGTCTGAGCACAGAGAAAGCATGAATGTGAAAAGAAAGGGTTGAAAAGTCAGTCCCGCATTTCTTGAAACTGGTTAACAAACACAAAAACGTTAAGAGACAGCCACTTAATAGGTTAAAGAACAGTTAATAAGTTGAAGTAAAGAATAAGCAAAAAAGAGAAAGAAAAAAATTAAACATCAGTGTTTTTAGGAGCTTTTTTAAGAGAAACGTCTGATATGTGGTGATGGATGGCCTCAGATGCGCTGCTCGTTACAGTGGGTACCAGCCTACCTGTGGGGTCTCTTGGGTCGGGTTGTTGCTCTTCGCCTTGGCAACCATATCTCTGATCTGATAGAGGGCGAAGGCAACGGTGACCCAAGGGGAAGTGGACACCACCCATGCCGGCTTATTCACATCCTCCTGCTCTTCCTGAGCCTTGCTCTTCTTGGCAGGGGCTTTGCTCTCCAGCCTTGGTGCCGACTCCGTGGGGTTCTGCACTAAGTCTATGGTGGCGATAGGCACCGGACTGGAAGGCACTGGAATGTTCTCGGCCAACATCGAGTCCCCTGTGTGGACAAACCCGTCATGTAGATCAGTGTGCATTCTCCGAGTCCATGTGTCACGATACCTTTACTGTGCGGTCGTCTCAGTTCATCCAAGAGAATCTTTAACCCTTAGAAGAATCATTAGAGTCATTTTGTAATACTATGGAGCCCTGCAGGTGGCGTCCCGTATAAATAACATATAAAAATAATGCTTAGTAAGATGTGGGAACAAGATAATTAAGTCATAGCCACAACGTAGTAACGTGTGGGAACAAGATAATTAAGTCATAGCCACAACGTAGTAACGTGTGGGAACAAGATAATTAAGTTGTGGCCACAACTTAGTAAGGTGTGGGAACAAGATCCTAATTAGTGGCCACAACAGTAAGGCATGGGAATGAGATAATTAAGCCTTGACGACAGCTTAATAAGCCATGATCTCGTTCCCACGCCTTACCAAGTTGTGGCCGCAACTTAATTTTCTTGTTCCCATGCTTCACTAAGTAGTGGCCGTGCATTAGGATCTTGTTCCCATGTGTTAATATGGCGTGGCCACATGTTATTTTTATTTATACGGCCACCAGCAGGGCTCCATATCTTTCATATAAAATCGCATAATTAATTATTGCATAATAATAATAATAGTCAATTACATTCTGTATCAACATGGTTCTGTATCGACGGGACCTTCTGATGTTATTCCATCTGTTTTAATGTTAATTAACTAAAAAATGAAAAAAGGGATGTAAATATGTTTTTCTTTCTGCAAAACAACATTAACTTTTCATCAAGTTGAAATCATAATAAAATATTTCTTCATCTACATATAAACACAAAAATGGTATGGACAAAGGGTTAGGATTAGGATTAGGGCCAGGGTGAGGGTTAGGTTTTGGGTTGAGGTTAGGGTTAGGGTTAGGATTAGGGCCAGGGTGAGGGTTAGGTTTTGGGTTGAGGTTAGGGTTAGGGTTAGGATTAGGGCCAGGGTGAGGGTTAGGTTTTGGGTTGAGGTTAGGGTTAGGGTTAGGATTAGGGCCAGGGTGAGGGTTAGGTTTTGGGTTGAGGTTAGGGTTAGGGTTAGGATTAGGGCCAGGGTGAGGGTTAGGTTTTGGGTTGAGGTTAGGGTTAGGATTAGGATTAGGGCCAGGGTGAGGGTTAGGTTTTGGTAAGGTTGGTAAGGTTAGGGTTAGGGTTAGGATTAGGGCCAGGGTGAGGGTTAGGTTTTGGGTTGAGGTTAGGGTTAGGGTTAGGATTAGGGCCAGGGTGAGGGTTAGGTTTTGGTAAGGTTGGTAAGGTTAGGTTTTGCGTAATGGAAGTAACATATTAACAAAACATCTTCTTAATGTAAGTAATGTATCAACAGAACATCTACAAGATATTTACTTCAGTGTATTCAGACGCTTCACTACTGCTACTTCACTGATATGTTGTTGATGTGTTACTGATAATCTGTTAAGAGTTTATTAATCATCTACAAAGGATCACTCCAAATAAAGTGTTACCTCCTCCTGTTTTAGAATAATATTCACTGAAAACTTACGTTTATCCTCATTCTCCCCAATAAGACTCTGAATGAGGGCGAAGATGAGCAGGATGATAAGAGAGGCCATTCCTAAACCCCTGAAGGTTTCAGCCGCTCCTACACACGAACAAAAGGAAACACAGGAACAAAAGAAACAGTGTCTAAGTCCATAAGACCATCTATCCATTTGTCTATAGTCTATAGTTCACTTTGTGTCAATGTATTCATCCATACATTTTTATGTACTTTATTTTTAATTATTACGTGTTGTAAATGTTCTCTGAACGTCATCTTCAGTACTTCTACATAAACATAAAGGTTTCAGTAGAGTCGAATATCTGTTAACAGGGTCTGAATGATCTCACAGTGACGTAAGGCATGTGACCTTTGTCATTCATACAGACTGTGACAGACACAGGTGTGGTTCAGATTTGCATTTTTTTGCCTTTGTCAAGGCCATACCAAAGTAGTTGACGAAGACTCCTCCCACCATGGCGCCACAGCCGCGCCCCAGGCCGAGATGCAGGCCCTGCAGGATGCCCTGCGCTGAGGTGCGCAGAGCTGGAGGAACTGCTGCACTCAGGTATGAAATACACGCTGCCCAAACCGACGCGTGCGTCAGACCTGCAGGACAGAATAACGTCAGAAAAGATACAGTACTGCCCTCGACGCCGGGTTACATAACATCTCTGTCGTGAGAAAACTATGTCTGAAACATGTTGGTCCTTTCATTATCAAGTTCACACAATGTAAAGGGCAGCTGGTGCTTTAACTGGTTTAGAGAACAAATAAATAATTTCTTATTTTTGTGTCGTGCTACACTTGTAACAGCACCACAAACTACTATCACTGCGGTGCCGGGCACAGTCTACCATAAACAATATCTGGTCAACAGTTGGGTTGTGGTCAGAAACTGACCAATGGTAAATGAGGTAGGGGACTGCAGTCTGTTACTGTGCACCTGTGTAAGCAGGGCTCAACTTGAAGGCGAATGAGAGGGGATGGCAACCGCCCAGCCAAAAAAAAAAAACATCCCCCTTGTAAAATGACCAGCACACTTTTCCATCTCCTTTGGATTAATGTGACATCACTTAATATATTTATTATTAACATTTTCATTTCCTCCATTTGTGAAATTTACCATGGTAGTGCTTCCTGCTAAGTTGCATGTGATCATAGCAGAGTGGACGCATGTGGTTATGTTGAATCACACGCTTTCTATATCCTAATCCAACTTTTAATTTTTATTTCGATTTTTTTAACTATCCTAATTTAATTTCTAATTAGATTTTTAATTTAATGATTTTTAAATCTATTGTTTTAATCATGTTTTTAATTTCTATTCTCGTTTACTTCACTTTTTTTAAACTACTCTGTGTTTCCTGACTCTGTATTTTCTCATTTGTAAAGCACTTTGAATGACAGCAGTGTAGGAAATATATATAAATAAACTTGCCTTGCCTGGCCCTGCCAGGTTCACAGTGTTCCTGCCAAATTAGGCCGCAGCTTCTGGTGGGCAGCTTTTACGTAAACTTTGGGCTGGAGATTTTGCTATACCTGGCAACACTGCATACTGAAGAGTTAAAATCTCTGGGGCTAATCTCAATATAATTAGTAATCACTGATAATCACTGCGAGCTGCATCTCCAGAACAAACATTTCAAAGCTAACTGTGACGTATTACTGTCAGCAGTGTTGCTAACACTACGGTGCTGTGTGTTAACATCAAGCCTGATATTTGAAATGTTGGTAATTTATGTGGAAAGTTTTGTTTGGAAGAATTAAATGTTGATTAAAGAACTAACATCTCAAAAGGCACCAATAAACTGCCAAGCAAAATAAAAAAAAATGTATGAGCTCATTTAAGTTTTCAGATTAAAATAATTTGTTACTGTCACAAAAAAAAATTAAATTCTAACATATGTCAGTGTTATAAGATTTTATTCCAAGAAACTCTGGCCCATTCATCATTAAATACTCTATGTAAAAGGCAGCTGGTGTTCTCAAGTGATTTTCAAGACAGTTTCAAGAACTAAAAACTGAAAAAAGAGCCAGGTTTTGATATGACAGCAAAAAATAGTTAAAAACGTTTTAAATGACATAATTTGGTTTGCGTGGAGGCAGAAATTACTACTGAAAGGTTTTTAAGGTCACCATCTCATCTGGGTCAACCAACAGATACTAAAAAGGCCAGCAAGCCCAGCCTGCCCTTCAGGCTGGTGATGAGAGAACCAGAAAAACCTGGTAGTTTACAGTCAACATATTTAGAAAACAACAAAGGCAAAAGCAGCCAAACTGGCTTCTACCGTCTATGGCTAAATGAAGCTCGTCAGGGTTTGGTTAATACTGTATAGACCTGCTGGACTGGAAAGGCTACTGTGGTGGAATGTTAATGCAGGTTGACAGCAAGATTAATTGTCCTAACATTATCCTTCTATTCAGTAAATAAAAATCAACCCTATCTTACCCTAACGTACATTCAGTGACTTTAACTGTGTGTCCTCTAACTGAACTTCCATTCCTCACACCTATAACATAGGAATAACTCAGTCTGTCTGCATTCTTTTCCATGTAATTACTGCATAATAAGCCTTTGTGTGTAATAAGCCTGGGATTTTAAGGGGTTGCATGCAGGACCATGTTTCATATCACTGTATAAAAGAAGCTTCATGCTGCCTTTATTGCTGGATGCACTGTGAGTGTGCACACATTCACAACACTAGGAAAAGGTGTCTTATTGATTTGTTTGCAACAATGAGTGTGTTTACATGCACTCAATAATCCGATCATGATCTGATTTCTGCATTTATCTGATTATTCAAATGGTCATGTAAACAGCATACTCCGATTTCCTAGATGGGGTAAGGTCTAGAAATCTGATTAAGAAATCTGATGCAGAGAGCTGGATTTTAGCTCAGTAATCAGATTTCTCAGTGCGTGTAAACTCTTAGGGTGCCCACACACTAGAAGCTGACGCAGCGTCAGAAACGCAGTCCTCCAACGTATTTCAGCTCTGTCGGACTAGAAATGGACTGTACGCAGTGAAAAGACGCTTCATCGAGCGTCAAACATGTTCAAACCATTTCAACTTTTGCTGCAACGGATTCTGACATGGAGGCATGTCAACCAATAAAAACGTGGAGGCAGAAGACGGATGAAAATCTGAGATGGAGGACAGTAGCGATGCTGTGTATTCATTCCCTGTTCTATATGGCTTCTTTGCCTTCGTGGCTGTTGTCTGCTTGGCTCTGAATGTGTCCATTGCCAAAATTTTCTTTTAATGGCCCATATTTCTTTATGTCTAGCCTAAACGTTTTGTTTCCCACTGGAACTGTACGAACTCTGCCTCGCTCCAGCCGTGTACTCGCCTTCTAGACGGACAAGATCTTCATGCGTATGCGTCTACTGCTCCGTCCTTGCGTTGTCTAGTTTGTAGGCACCCTTACTCTGATTTCTTTGGGATTTCTCAGTCTGCTCATGTGCGAAAACAGATGGAGGGACTGGAAATAAGCAAGCAGCATTGCCACGAGACTAAATGCTTGACGAAATGAAGCATTTAAATATCTTCATCTTCTAGATGATGTATGCTCATATTTTCAGGTAAAGTGGTGTGATGTGTTTAATAAAAAAGCCACGGTGTGAAGTTTGAGTTTTACATCACGTTTGACTCATGTGGACCCAGAGTTTCCCCATTATCTGATTACATAAGGGCATGTAAACATGTTGATCGAATTACTGACAAAATCTGATTTTCTGCAGTTATCAGATTATTAAGCGCATGTAAACACACTCATTAAAAATGTTCGCTTAATAATGCGATGGTTTGACACAAAGTAAAAGGATACACTTTTTAAGTTTGTTAGATTTTGTTATTTACATACCAAAAGGAATAAATCACAGCATTGAGAAATCACATTAATACAAGAAAAGGAGTCTTTTCTTAATTAATGTCTCAGCATTAACTAAGAATGTAGCAGTATGTTCCACATCCACACTCAGATGCAATTCTGAACTGCTATTGCAACAGACAAAAGGGCGTTAGGTATTAAAGAAGAGGAGCTTAAGTCAAAAAGCTGATTCATGCATTTAGCTGAGGCTGGAGCTCTAGTCAAGCCTCCAGTTCAAACACTGCCTGGCTAACAAGTCAACATAGACACGCCTCATTTCTCTCACCTTGAAGGACCTCCATGGGCAGAACTATCCAAGCATTCTGCAGGTAGGAAATGTACAGGTAGCGTGCGGTGTTGCAGGCCAGGCCGATATACAGCACTCTGCAGGGCGGGAGAGAAAATAATGAGCGACAAAAGACATGAAAAGCTGCTTAGAACAACACAAAAACACCTCCCGTCTCTTTGTAGCTCAATGAAAAGAAACAATGCTAGAATACACAAAATGGACATAATGTTTCGCAGGGCGCAGCTAATGAAAGCCAAGCCCGTTTCTTTTAACAGAGATGTTGTCATGTTTAGACACAGTGCCGTTTGGCAATCATGACATTAGGCTCCATTCTGTCACTGTAAGAGAATGAGTCACGCTCTCCTAGGGAGGGGCCGAGAGACGGACAGTAAAGGACTGAGCTAACAGCTCCAGTGCATCCACTGAATCTATAACACATCTCTTTATGTTCCATCTAAACTTGCTTTGCAGTGCAGATTTGACCTTTTTTGAGTTATAATATCATCTTTTAGCTCCATGAGGTCCATCACCACTGCAGCTGATTTCACCCCTATTTTACAGTTTCTGTACATTTCTGTTTGAAGATTTCTCAAATATATTACTCTATTATACTTAGAATAAAACAGGTTAAAACTCTTTAAGATTCATACATTGATTCATTTTACACAGCCATGATATGACTAATTCAGAAATGACAGTTATTATACACATTTATATTATTTCATGTAAATATTTAACATTGTTAAGCAGAAAATTAAACCTTCAATCTCCTGTATGTGTGGCGGTTGTGTTATCCATTAAGCTGTCCATTCTAGTGAGCTGACAAAGAACAGAACTTGCTAGCACTAGTGACTCCTACAGGAGTAACGATTTCAATATAGTATTAAACATATGAACAATCCAAATAATGCATCACAATTTAAAACTATCTCCAAAATAACACCTTAGTCTCTTTTGAGCATCTCTCATTTGCCATCGTTCACGGAAACCACCACCCAAGATCAAAACTGGGCATCCTTTGGGCTCTACTATATGCTGTGTCAACTATCAAAACGGCCCTGCAAAAAAACAGATCCATGTGAAATAATTCTACATCTTTGCACACGCGTGAGAATCTCATTTACACTGTTGGAAATAAAGGTATATATTTCGTTCATCGAGGTACAAACAGTGTACATGCACCATCAAAGGTTCAACAGTGGTTTTAAGGTCTAATTGTGCACCTTATTTAAGTTTTCCCAGGTAAAAATTACATATTTGTACCTTTTCATAACCAAATGTATTAAAACAGATCAATAAAATAAAAGCCTGGAGATGAGACGGGGTGTGTGGAGTCAGTACAACTTAGAAAATATAATTTCAATGGATTATGGTACAGTTATGTTCCCTGACTAAAGGTACTGAGAGGTACCCTTGAGGGTACCACCCCAGTGACAAGAGGGGTACTGCCCCAGTGACAGTCTAGTACCTTTTTACTAGAGAGTAAAAGATACTAGAGAGAGTACTAGATACTAAATTCTTGCACTCTGTGATTGTGATGGCTCTGAAACAAAAACAGGCACATGTGCAACAAAATAGTAAGCCTTTGCAAAAACATGAGGATCTCACTACCTATTAAGTGCTTTAAAGGAAACCGTTGAGTAACTTTTACAAACCTTTTCCAATCTAGTGACTATATCTTAGTCTGAAAGGTTTATTGTTGTCACAGTGAACCTGCAAAAGACTGGCTGCATCTAAAACTTCCATACTAAACGGTATGTAAAAACAATACACTACCATTAGCAGTAGATTCACTAGTACAGATATAGCACATATAAAACAGTGTGTGAACTGATAAAACTGAAGTTACACACACAGAAGTGAGGACAGCCAAGCAGCAAGCAACTGACAAAATTCCAATACAACATACATTAGACAGTCCGTTTAACTCTGTGGGCGGAGCATCTGAGGCTGATGACGACTGTAATGGAGTTATCAGCAGTACCACAGCGATCTGTAGCGCTTCAAACGGATCATTACAAAGCTAAGTCCCCACTTCTTGCCGACAAGGTCACGTGACTTTGCAAATGCTATACCATGCAAACACAGCGCTGATGTGACAAGCGCCTGAGATATCCATGCAAATTGGGCATGTAGGCTTTCTACTCCACATGGCCTTGGCTCTGTCACCAGGTTTTTAGCACAGCTGGTTTGCTTTTGAATTGATCCACAAGAGCAGGAAGCCCACTGGATCAATGACTAAATGCACGGATAAAGCATGGCGTGCTAATGGGAGGATAGAGTTACACAGGCCCATGGGCTCCCTTAGTACACAGCGCTGAAATTAGGCCACTAAAGAGAGAAAGTACTTCAAAGAAAGTGTCTGCAGCCAAGCTAAAATCAGCCTTTACCTTCACAGCAGAACAACAGCGCTCAAGGCCAGCTTAGAAATGCTAAACTGATAGGATATAGAAACCGACAGGGCAATATTACAACATTTAAATTAAAATAACAGCCAGTGTCATATTACAGTGCAGTTTATAGAGCAGAATATACAGCAACTGCCACACAGTATCACCCAGATGATGCATAATGCAATTTAAGTCTAAAAATAACCCTAATAATCATCACCAGAACAACTCTGCTGAAGAGAAGACACGAAATGAAGAATAACCGTTATCCAAAGGCCTATTACTGGTAATACTATGGCCTCTTTACACGAATCAGTCCAATTGAATGAGACATAAATTATTCCAGAGATATTCATTACTGAATTTATGGGAGCTGGTGGTTTCTGCTCCGCCAGCTGAACAGCAGGCAGACCAATCGAATCAACCTGTCCAGCTTTACTTTAACACAACAATAAATGAATTCTAAAACCTGCCATCAAATGATTCATCAATAAAATTCACAGAATCCAAAAGAAGAAACTTTCCGGCTCACAGTGATTTGCCACTTTGTCTGAAGGGCAGGGAGCTTTAGCAAACACACTCACTGGAGAAACAGCACGCAGCAGATGGAGGATAAGCGTGTTTCAGAGTGTGCCCTGAGCTCCCTGTCCGCTCTCTGTTTGGTCATGGCGTTGTTTGCCTGTGCCCTTTTTTAACAGCTGGTAAACATCCATGGAAAGACTGCCAGTGGTGCTGATTTAGGGCTAAAGTCAACAAGCTGGCAGGTACAGCAGGTAGAATAAAACAACCCTTTACGCTCTGCCTTAACATATAAAACCGCAATACTAACACTTGTGGTTTTGCAGACAGAAACGCAGCTGAACATTAAACCTTATTTAAGATGGACAGACAGAAAAGATCACCTAGAGTACCTTGATGGAGTGAGCTGGTGACATATATATCACACATACACCTATATATGAAAAAAGTTTAACACCCCTGGTCGAATTACAGACTTTGTTGATTCTCTAAGTGAAAAGTAGAAATAAGTTAAAGAACCCTTATCATGGAAAACCGAAGGTCCCTCAATTTTTTTTTAAATAAAAGGCGTTTGAAGTAACGTATAAACATTAATAAAGTTTCAAACCGTACCATTCAATACCGAGTCCATACAGACCACACATAAAACTAAGCTGAAAACAGCCTGTTTTGAATTCATTGTTTCTGTGATGTCACAAGAACCAACTCATTTACATGTATCCACCCTGTGAGGAATACCACAGCCATGAAGGTGTTTGACTGGTCCACATGGATGCCTGGACCCAGAGTCTCCCAGCAGTACACTGCCCAGAGCATCAAGAACAGACGTTTTTGAAAGTTTAACAATGTTTTCAGTCAAGTCCATAAGTATTTGGACAGTGACACAATTTGTATAGTTTTGCTTCTGTACACTACCACAGTGGATTTGAAATGAAGCAGTCAAGATGTTATTGAAGTGAAGACTTTGAGCTTTAATTCAAGGGCTCTAACAAAATGTTGCATTAAGTCATGAATTCAATGACTGCCTGAAGTCTGGAACCCATGGACATCACCAAATGCTGAGTTTGCCTTCAGTTACTCCTTGTTTGCGAGTCTTTCTGCCTTCAGTTTTGCCTTCAGTAAGTGAGAAACATGCTCAGTTGGGTTGAGGTCAGGTGACTGACACAGCCTTTTAAGAACATCCCATTTCTTTGCCTGAAGAAGCTCTTGGGCTACTTTCGCTGTGTGTTTTGGGCTATTATCCATGTACTGTGAAGTGTTGTCCTATCGGCTTTGCAGCACTTGACTGAATCCGAGCAGGACGTGTAGCTCTATACACTACAGAATTCATTCTGCTACTCCTATCAGCAGTCATATCATCAGTAAACACCAGTGACCCAGTTCCACTGGCAGCCATGCGTGCCCAGCCATAACACTACCTCCACCATGTTTGACATATGATGTGGTGTTTCAGATCATGAGCCCTTCCTTTCCTTCTCCACATTCCCCTTCCATCATTCTGGTACAAGGTAATCTTGGTTTCATCTCTCCAAAGAATCTTTTATCAAAACAGTCTTTTTTTTTTAATGTTTTCTAGCAAAGTCTAATGTGGCCTTTCTGTTCTTGAGTGTTATCAGTGGTTTGCATCTTGAGGGAAACCCCCTGTATTTACATTCATAAAGGCGCCTTTGGATTGTAGCCTTGATGCACTGATACACCAACCTCCTCTAGAATGTCCTTGTCTTGACTAGACGTTGTGAAGGGGTTCTTATTCACCACAGACTGAATTCTGCGATACCTACTTTAGTTGTCTTCTGTGATCTTCTAGCCTTTTAATGTTGCTAATCAGCTGCAAGTGCATTATTTCTTTTTAAAGAATGCACCAAACTAGATTTGTCCACTACTAAAGTTTCTGCTGTCTCTCTGATAGGTTTGTTCTGTTTTTTCATCCTAATGAAGGCCTCCTTCACTTGCATCGACACCTCTTTGGACCACATATTGAGAGTTCCCAGGAACAGCTACTAAATGCATATTCAACAGTGGAAATCAACTCTAGACCTTTTATCTCCTTAATCTGTCATGAAATAACGAGGTAACAGGCCACACCTGGCCATGAAACTGCTTATCAGCCAAATATCTAATTAATTTTGAGCCTGTAAAAACAGGTGGACTGTGTAAAAAATGGCTGTAACTACTAAACAGTTAATGGAATATTTCTGTTAAACCCCTTGAATTAAAGCTGAAAGTCTTCACTTCAATCAGATGTTGATTGCTTCATTTCAAATCTTTGGTGGTGGTGTACAGAGATACAATGACAAAAATTGTGCCACTGTCCAAATACTTATGGGCATAACTTTAACTACTGCATCAAACTTTCAAAATACTTTATCAAACTTTTGTAATTTCTAAAAGTGGGGAAAATTCAGTTCTCCCTGATATGAAGCCCTTTGAGCTCAAAGGCTGAAATCGTTCAAAAACAAGTGCACACTGAGGACTTAACATGCAAGTGAGGATTCTTGGACTTGGACACATCACACAGGGCTCATAGATTTTTATGCATTCTGAACTGCAGACGTGGTTCGTGAGAGGAAGGATGGACTGGCACAGTCTCAGTGAACTGAAGATGACTTTGAAAATGTTATCTGCCTATCAGCTCTTTGTTCTCATGTTGTGTAAAGGAGCAACGGAAAAAATGCCACTGCTCACAACTCAAGCAGCTTCCTTGCACTGGCTAATGCAAACGTGTAGGCGCACATACACACGCAAGTCAATGAAACAGGAAGCTATAGACGTACTTTGCATTTGAGCTACACTTCACAGAGGAAGAGGTGATTATAAATCTAATACCACACTCTGTTCCCTCAGAATGTACTGATTAAACCAAATTAAGACCCACTGTTGGAACGTGCCCACTTGCCACACTATATGCAGTACAGTCTTAATGTAGTCCTAGTCAAAATGGAATAATCTGTTTTTATTTGCATTTATTTTTTACTGGTCTTAAAAGAAAGGATAAGATATACATCAGACAATAGAATCTGATTTGAGTGCCTGACTAAATGAAGCCTTAAAGGAATAGTTTAACAAAAAAAGTGTGGTGTCTGAAGACTTTTTAGCTTTGCACTGCAGAAGCTAACGTCGTGAACAAGTAATGGGAGCTCACCAATTAGGATTGTGCAAGCTGCATGCTTTTATCAACATGCCCTTCCTTCAAACTGCATCAAGTTGTTAAGAAATCCTGCTTGTGTATGTGGTTTCTGAAACTGTATAACACACAGTTCTCTAGAAAAAGGGGCAAGCTGGCTGCTGCTACTGTTTTTAGCTATGAATAGATAAAAGTATGTCACACAGTGTCAGAAACCACATGAACAGCAAGTCTATTTGAGAGCACTTAAACTGGCATTCCAGCCAGTTCAAACTAGAGTTTAATGTGTTTTGTTGCATTATGCGCAGCATTTTGTCCCTTAGCCTCGTCGGTTTGACAGAATTCTTGATTTTAAGTTCTTTTCATGTTTTCATTCAGTAATGTTTTCTCACTACAATACCCAGCATGCATTGCACAAATAACCAGCGGGAATCCCTGTGGTGTCACTCAATCTTGACTATAGGCTAATATATACAACCAAGCAAGAATCAGTGTAACTCTTACTTTGGCTGTCGAACAAAATCATTAACACAACAGAGATTCTACACACATAAAAAAGATGGTTCTTCAAGGGTCCTTTAGTACAGAAAATGGTTCTATGTAGAACTATGAACACTCAAAGAACGCTTTGCATGATTAAGGGCCCTTTGCGTCATGAAAGCGTTCTTCAGATTGATGGAGAATGTGTTAAATATGGTTCTATATAGAACCTTTTTGAAAAGGTTTCTTCGATTGTTACAGGCTTGATATCGTAACAATAGAGGAAACCCTTTTTGGTGTTATATAGAACCCTTTCAAAAAGGTTCTATATAGAACCATATACAGCACATTCTCCATTAGTCAAATGGTTCTCAGTGGTTCTCAATGGTTCTATGTAGAACCATTGTGTTTACTAAAGAACCCTTGAAGAACCATCTTTTTAAGAGTGTACCTGTATTCAGCACAAAACAGACACCAGAGCTACATCCTTAAAGAAGGGGGTTTTTCATGGGTTCTTTAGTAAAGGTAATGGTTATATATAGAACCATAAAAACTCAAAAGAACCATATGAATGTATAAATGGTTCTATGCACGAGTAAATATTCTTCTCTATGATGGACAATCTGGTATAATCTCCTCTCACCTTCTAAAAGAAGGAAGTTTTCCTAGTCTTTAAACGGGAAAAGCCCACTCTGATGTCTGCTGCTGCACCGAGGCAGGGAAGCATGTTTAAACAGATGTAGCGATAGTTAAAATTTTCAAGTTACTGTTTCCTTTTAACTTGGTTCAAGTCTATTGTTTGATTTAGCCATGCAGTTTGCACAGTGCTAACTGTTAGCAACATTAGCCTTGTAGCTTCAGCGCAAAACTAACCAAGCAAACCAAGGTTTGACATGTCTTGGCTGATCAATTACAACTGTGTACATTTGCTTTATAACACAGTGTGTTTATATGTGCATCTTGTTTTTCTGCTCCTCAGGAAGCTCATACCTGATGTGGCCGACCAGCTCGATGAGTTTGTGACTGATGAAGTAGGCGGTGAGCTCAGAGATGTGGCTGAGCACAGCACAGACCCCGAACAGTGTGGTGGTCCCCTTCAGGTCCTCCAGGTGCCAGTAGAGAAATGTGAAGACAAAGCCATAGCCGAAGCCCATGAACCAGGCCACGAAGAGCACGGAGCCATAACGGACGCCGCACAGCAGCCGGATCAGGTCCTAACCAAGAGTAAAGAAAGACTTCAGCGTCATCTCATCAACAGACAGGGCCTGAGTTTCTAAATAGTACACATGACCAATGCATAAGACAGATATAGTACAACTGAACAGGAAAATGCGGTAAAATACTCTATATTACAATACAATACATAACAGTGCAAAACTAAACTCAAACCACTATAATAAAGATGGAATAACACAAGTTGATACATTTCTGACTTCATGATTCGATTTGATTACGATTCTTCAGGAAACAATTTAATGCATCATGAAACCTCAAATTTCACCACAATTTGATTCAGTTTGATTATTTTGTTACGACTGAACTTAAAAATATATATATAACAGTCATACATGACTGGAAGAACTATTTACACAATAATAGAATATGGACAATAAAAGCAATACATGAAGATTTTTGGCTAGGCTACAAAATAAGTGCATATTTAGTGCACATTTAGTGCAAAATCAATGCAGTCACACCCTTAAATAACACAATACCTTATAGGGGAATGGAGGCCGGCTGCTGGACTCAGGGCACACCGGAACCTCGTCTGAGCCGGACTCCGACACATTCTGGATCACCTGTGGGATCTCCACCTCCTCCGTCTTCTCCTGCTCCACCGTCTCCTCACCATCTGGCTGGTATTCCCTGCCGTCGAAGCGGAACTGCGTGGAAACGATGAGGGCTATTGTCATCAGCACCCCAAAGACGATAAAGGCGATCTGGTAGTTCTTGTAGTCCGGCAAAATACAGCCGGCGCCCTGGATGATGAGGGTGATGTGCGTGTGGTCTATCCAGATGCCCACCGACAGCATGGCTATTCCCCAACCCAGAGAGCCCCACATTCTCTGCAGGCCGTAGCGATCGCGGTGCTTTCCCAAGTACTGCAGGGTCACCGTGTCTACGATGGTCACAGCTGGAGCACTGAAGAATTCTCCAATGATGATGACCAGCAGGATTACGAGGAAGATGGTCTCCACCTGGTCTTTACTGTAAATGATGATGTAGTCTTTGGACTTGGCAGTAGAGGAGGTTGACTTGGTGGAAGTAGTTTTTGTTGTGGTTGTGGTGGACGTGGTGGACACTGTTGTCATCAGGTCAGTGGACAGCGTTTTGGTAAAGTTCTGTGCAGTATTTACATCCAAGACGCTCACGTTATCACTTCTTCTGTACCTATTTTGAGGACTATAAGCCTCGGACAAGTCATGAAGTAGTGGCAGGTGGAATAATTCCCCATTCAAGTGTCTACGGTGTCTGGTGTGGTTTCCAGGGGAACCGGACTGTGACACGTTTGCCGGCGTAGCAGCATCTGGTCCCTTTTCTACACAAGTCATAGCTGCCGGCTTAACGAAGCCAATGCCACAGTTGAACACCACCCAGCAGAACACGGAGAAGAGCAGCACGGCCTTGCCCTTGTTGAAGCGGTCGGCTACCACTCCCCAGAAGGGGGCGCTACAGAACTCTATGAAGTAGCGGATCCCAACCAGCAGGCCGCTCTGGCTGGGGGTCATGCCCAGCTGCTTATAGTATACAGCCAGAAGGGGATGCAAGGAGCCGTAGGCAGCATAGAAGAAGAAGTAAAACACCTTGGAGATTAAGAGGCGGCTGTCTATTCTCATGCAGGTCCGCTCCAGGCAGTCTGATTGCTGAGCGGGCGGCTCGGGCGGTGACTCAGATGAGGCGGGCGGCGATGTTTGACTAGGTGGAGTACTGTTTGCTTCTTGCCCTAGAGACAGGGTATTAAATGGCTCAGCCAGGACATACCTCCTCTTCTGTTCCTCCTCATCGTCTGTCAGGATGGCCACACGGTCACTCGCCATCTCTGAGGAGAACAGAGAAAATCACCTGCAAGTTATTACAGTTTTAAGTGTAATTAATCACGGTTAAAACAAGCATTACTGAGCATTACTTACAATCCTAGGGTGTTTCCTAATAACTATGCTTCTAATAACATCTTTACCCTTCAGCTCAACTGCATGCAGAATTACATTCTAGTTAATAATAATAACAACAACAGCAATTTAACATAATTCTATAAATCTGAATGTTTTATGGTTTTACTGTGTTTAAAAACCTGTAATTTAAGCAAATAATTAGGAACACACTGATACAGCAATTGTGGGCCGATGTCTGATATTTAGGAGTTTGTATCATGAAACTTGTCACTGTTTATGTATCAGCACCAGCATTTTGGATGCTGCTGCATAAACATTTATATAGTGTAGAAAACCTACCTGGATTAACATAACAGAGATATATAACATTCACAGATGGTGCAAAAGTCAAATTATATGTTTGGTTGAATTTCCTAGTGAAAATAAATTAACACATCCTCTGCATGGAGCAAACTTAAATGTAGCATTTTTCTGCAAGTTATATTGCACAATTTCTATTTCTTTACTGAGTTTAACATACTGAAAAAATAAAATAAAATCTAAAATGTGCTATAATGTTCGCACAGGCCGTGTTTTATGTTTTGTTTTTCCCCCAACATGTTAATTCAGCAAATAAACAGCATTAAAATGCACAGCTAGAGGATGTCAACAAAATCAACAAAACATATAAATTAACCACGAGTGCATTTTGTATACGACTGAATTTCTGTGGGGTCACAAATGCAGTAAAATGAACAAAATGAAAAACGTTTTAGCCCAGTAGCACAAAATGTTCTGCCCTTCCAGGGTTACAGTAAATGCATTTTTTAAAGCAATTATCCACTGATGTCAATACGATTCCACTATGATTGTGCATTCCTGGAAATGATGAGGAACAGAGGAGACTGACACCCAACACCATCATGAAGCATCAGCTACAACCTGACACTGGCTTTGCTGGACTGGAGAAGAGCCACATACAGAACGACAAACAAACATACAGATGTACTTTTTTGATCCCCAAGATCAAAATATGGGGATCTGGGTGCAACTGTGGCCGTAGAACACGAGGAACACCATACATTATACACACTGATTTACACAAACACACAGTGTAAACAAGACAGTGCAGAAGACAACATCAACTCAATTACTCGTATACAGCATATACAGTGCTCTGTGAGTTACGAGGTGTTGTAGTTAATGTAAACCACATTAACATATGTGCAAAAAGTCCACTCACACTGTGGTATGTTCTTGATGTTCTTGATTGCGACTGATTCTTTATCCTATCTTTGGTTCTCAGAGACAGGTGGTCACCAGTGTAACACAGTGAATCCTCCAAGGTCACACTCATTCTCCAACTGAAGTACCATCTTTTGAGCCCAAAATGCCATCAGGACAGGATAAAGCCCAAAAACACCACCTAGCCTCTAACTAAGAGTGGATGATGACCACTGGGAGCCCTACACCTGATCACTGGAACCTCACAACACCAACAAAGACACAAGCATCTCTCAAACTTACCCAGATATTATTTTTATCAAACTTTGCTGCCTCACCGTCTCGCCTGAGACGAAAACGACCTCTTCAGATCACTCCAGGCAGCAGCAGCACACTTCTCCTCCTCCTCCTCCACCCATTATCCAGCAGCAGGTTCATTCACAGCCCGCCTGCAGTAAGTCATTAGGGTCGGTTCACCACCGCGGACCGACAGCCTGAAGTCCTTAGCTAAAGGAACAGAGCGAAATGGAGCTGCTTCGCCCTCACAGCTGACAGAGCAGCTCACCACCACCCGGCTGGCCCGACGTGACGTCACGTCGATCACTCACCTGCTTTATTTCTTTACCCACCAGTACTGAGGCAGGTCCCGCCCCTCCAGCGGTGTGAATGGCTACTATTGTTTCCATTTCTGATCTAGGATTGGCTAGTGGCTCAAACTCCCGGAACAGACCGTTTAGAGGCCGGGACATTTGTGGCCACCACCTTTTTCAAAACTGTCAGTGATGTTTACCCCGCAGACCTTTTCATATAGATTTTTGATGTATGGTTTTTGGTACAGAAGCAGACTGTAGCCGTAGCACCACTGGCTCATTTCCAATAGTTCAGTAATTAATGAGTTTGAATTATGTCAACATTAATTTTGGGATATAACTGAGAAGAAGGATGTGAGCGCTGCATTATCGCTTATTATATTGGCTAAATATTACATATATAAACATACATTTTTGTATTTAAGAAGATTTATTTTACTTTGTTAAATTACTTTTTAAAAGTAAAAAGTGTATAAAATTACAGAAAATCTTTTTGTTACCTTTAACTAAAGTACGCAAAAAAACACAGTTTTGTGTGTGTTTTGGTTAAAAGCAAATATATATATATATATATATATATATATATATATATATATATATATATATATATACATACACACACACACAAACATATATATATATATATATATATATATATATATATATATATATATATATGTATATATATATATATATATATATATATATATATATATATATAGGTATATATTAAAATAGATACGTAAATAATGTAAAAAAGTAAGAATATTTACTTTTTTACATTATTTACGTATCTATTTTAATTGTAAAGTTCATGAGTTGTAATTCTATATTACATTGTTCAGTGAAAAAAATTCTGGCCAATCAGAGCGCTGGGTGGGCGGAGCCTGTCGCAATACGGGTATGAAAAAAAAACATAATGCACAGAGACTGATGGGAGCAACAGGGCGCTCAGAAAACACTAAAAACAAATGAGTAATGCTGAACACGAGGCTGGAGTTTTGCGCATGTATATTTGTCATCATTTCTATTTGTCACATTTGATTTTAACTGATTATTTTAAAATAGGTGCAGATAATCTGGTCGTAATGTGCAGATCTGTTTTCGGGAGAGAGTTTTCTTTCTTTAAGTAAATGAATGAATGAATGAGATGCTATACTTACTTGGCGCATTTATATAATTATTCATTAAATATATTTATAAATGACTTCGTAACTGAAAATATTAAAATTACAAGCTGTAATAGCTGATAAACTGAAAGCCCGCTGGTGAATTTCTCGATTTAAAGCGTGATAAGAGGGTGCGGCCGGAAAGGAACTGTGCATCGAGAGCCGAGCTGCTTTTTGGAGGTCTTTGTTTCCTATTTGGTTGCGTTTTTCAATGATAAAAGAGAGAATAGCGCCATCTGCCGACCGCGACCGAGTACTGCTGTCTCAAACATCCAGGAGGTTTGACTAATAGTTTTAGTCGCACACACTTAAAAAAGAGGGTTCTCTTTGGTAAAGCAATGGTTCTATTTAGAACCATGAGTTTCTTCAGACTGATGGAGAATTTGCATTTGCTGCTGGTTCTATATGAAATCTTTTTGAAAAATGTTCCATATGGCACCAAAAAGGGTTCTGCTTTTGTTACAAGCTTTACATTGTGACAATAGAAGAACCCTTTTTGGTGCCATATGGAACATTTTTCAAAAAGATTCCATATAGAACCATCGACAGCACATTCTCCATCGATCTGAAGAACCCTTTCACAATGCAAAGAACCCTTTAATCAGGCAAAGGGTTTTTCGTGGTTCTTTATAGAACCATTTTCTTTACTAAAGAACCCCTGAAGAACCATACTTTTTAAATGAGTAGGGCAACAACTGAGTTGGACACCGGCCCTCCAGGTGCTTTAAGGTCACCTATTGCTGACACAGGTGTTCATTTGCTCACAGCTTGTATAATCTCCACTGAAAAGCATTGACCGATAGAGTGGACCGCTCTGGAGCCTAAGGTCACCATGTCCACCTACTCAGAGTTCCCAGCAAAAAGTCAAGCCTGAAATTGGCTTCTCGTTCTAATGTTCCGGTCCACCTTAAAACGCTGCTGCAGAGATGTTTTTCGCCTGTAGATGGCACTGATGAGTCGGTTTTCATCATTAGTCTGTAATCCTTGTATGAGTAAAGGCTGTTACTGCAGCAAAGGGGGACAAACTCCCTATTAATCCCCTTGATATCAGAGGAAACACTGGACGTACTGGTGTCTACAAACTTTTGAAGATATAATGTATGTAGTGAATATGGAATATTCTGACATCCTGTATAAATAAAAATCATGTGTGGCTTACTAAGTTGCGCATTAGGATCTCTCATTATTTTTATTTAAACGGGGCGTCACCAGCAGGGCTCTGTAAATTTGTCCAGGATTTATGTCAATAAGCTTACAGTGCTCATTGGTAAGTGTAAGTGTGCATCTCCAGTTGTCCTCACAGCATGACTTTGGACTGGGGGAGAAAACTGATGCAGACATGCGGAGAACATGCAAACTCCACACAGAGAGGACCCTGGTTGCCCAGCTGTGGGGCGACAGCACTACCCACTGCACCACCGTGCCACCTAGTGACATCCTGTGTTAATAAAAATAAAGCGTGGCCATGCCATATTTAGTAAGTACTTAGTAAGGTGTGGGAACGAGATAATTAAGCCTTGACCACAGCTTTAAAAAAGATTCTCATTACCACGCTTTACTAAGTCGTGGGCATGACTTCACTCTCTCGTTCTCACGCCTTCCTAAGTTGTGGCCACACATTAGGATCTCGTTTCCATGCGTTAATGCGGTGTGGCCATGCATTATTTTTATTTATATGGATGTCACCACTGGGGCTGGTAAACTTCCAAATTGCTGCTGTTGGAAGAAAACCTTGTCTCCACATTTTTGTTGTTTTTCAGTTTTTGACATAATTTGATGCCTGTTAAAAAATACCTGTTACTGTTTACATTGTGTGTACATTTAATGCTAAATGGACCAAAAGAAACGACCCAAAATGACTTTGAAAAAAGTCTGGTTCCACTGACTTACATTAAAAGTAAAGTAGATTTGTTCTTTTTCCTGGAAAGTTCTCATTTTGGAGATACAAGTTTTTGTTCGGAAAACAGCGAAATATGTTTTTGAGACCTTTGGGTAGGGTTTGCTGGAGAGTTCATCTTTTCTGTCCGCATGAGTATGTAATCATTTTGAAACAGGGCTCTAGTGGTTTTACCCTGCATTGCAACACCCGCTCAATAGTAGATGTCAAGAGCAGCAGTTCACGACCTTTTTTAGCTCAGTATGTTACCAGACCCTCATCCACTTTGCTACCTTTCTCTGCAGCTATTGCTGACCTGCACACAGAAACATGGCCTTGTTCTGTGACATTACAGAGAACTCTATCAGATAACTAACTGGTGATGAACTCCATCAGATGATGTTCAGCAGCAGTACAGTTAGGCTTAGGATTTGGACCAAAGTTAAGTTTAGGACCAGGGTGGAGTTTAAGGTTAGGTTAAGTTGAGGGTTAGAGTTTAAGTTAGTTTATACAGACATTAATAGATATTTAACTGAAGGTAAGTTAAATGCAAGATAAGCATCTACAGTGGATCATCCGAATGAAACGTTACAAAACAAAGGGAGAATAAAAGATTCTCAGAATTTCTACTAAACATTTTGTTTATTTTTGCACATTTATTTTTGTACATATGGCCATATCCACAGACAATTAAAATGTTTGAATATGTTTACAAGGATCATGTGATGATATGTCTAAACCCACTTCATGAATTGAGATAATAATAAGTTAAATATACACAGAATCATCATACATTTAATTCAATACCATTCAACTTTATTGTCCTAATACACTTGAATGCACATGTACTAGTAGGATGACAGTATGTTTACAAAAAAATAAATAGACAGTAAACAATAAATACAGAATAAACTAGGCACACAGAAGCGTACTGATGCATAGAACTGTGTACAGAAGTGTGTGTTTGTATGTGTGTATATGTATTTAATGTGTATACGTACATATTTATATGTATGCGTGCATATGTCTGTATTTATAAGGCACTTTCTATTGGACAGTGTCAGTCCCAAACCCTGACCCTTAACTTTACACTTGTGAAAATAATACTTTAAAGTTTTTTGTATTTTTATTTATTCTTTTTTAATTTTTTTTGCTTTTAAAGATTTTTTTTTATTTCTTTAAAGTGAAGTTGAAAGATTTAGATTTATCAAGAGTTTAATTTTTAAATTGAAAAACATGAAAATGTTCCACATGGTGAGCAGTTAGATCCCATTAGTTTGAAGTAAATGAGTCCCAAAGTCTGAAAATCAGTATGTAACATTAAGAATTGTCACTGCCGAAACATATCTTTTTCTGCAATTAAGTACTTTTTTGTGTTTAAATAAAAATTAATTATAATTAGGACTTTTTTCAAAGCTGTGTTTGTTAGTCATGTACTGCCTAGCGTTTTTTTTAGTGAGCTAAAATTGTCACTACTGAAACAGTCACTACTGAAACGTGGTAATGTTTTGGTAGAGTTATGATTGTTTTGGTAGAGACAAAATGGAATGATCAATCATCTATTTGAAAAAAAATAAACATAATTAAGGTAAAGGGTCACTCGAAGCAAATAGGTTTTAGTCTAAAGTCCAATTCAGTTAAAAATCTGAAATGTGTTTCAAACTCTGACTGTGAACCACAGTAGAATGATCCAGCTACAGTATTGTAGAAAAGTCTCAGGCATCTGAGGAAATGATATGTAAAGCTATTAATCTGGGCAGGAAGTGTTTATTGATCCAAAAAAAAAAAACATTACCATTAGAATAAATACAAACCAACACATGCACAATTCATTGTGATTTGATGTGTGTCAATGTGCAATCGTAGTATTTAGAGTTGCCAAGTATTTACAGTTGCCATCCAACACCTAGTTTATCTAATGAATCATTAAATTAGACCAGTTGTGCTGCTGATGCAATTGCGATAACTGGAGTGCAGTGAGAAGTCAGGAACCAAACCTGTGTTCTTTCAACTGTTCCTTAATGTTCCTCTAACTTTTTAAAACAAGACTTCTTGGTGCTTTTTACTGTATTTATGTTTTTTGTATTTTAGTATAGTATACAGTACATAATGTATAACATATAATGTATAATTAAGTATAATATAGAGTACTTTCACAGGCAAAAACAAAATTACTGTTTATATATAGCTTTAAACTATTTTCTTGGCTGCCTAAAACTCTTGCACAGTGCTGTGTTTTCTTCAAATAACTAATTAGGCTTATTTTAGACAGCATGGAAACGTCATCATAAAGCCCCTTACTGACATTCGTAATTAAGCCATGAAATGCATACAGGATTATATGTAATTATGCACTGCACACCCCAGACAGGTAGCTAGATAGTCGCATCTCAGAGGGTAAGAATAGCCTATTATTACTTTCTGAGAAAATGACATCTGAATATTGTGCTTCATTACACTTTGTCCACTTGGACATGTCTTTTTCTTCAGCTGCACACACTTAGCAGACACTATATTAGGAACGCCCAGTTTGTAAGGTGTACTCGGTTGTCTGCCATGCACTTTTGTTTGGAGGTTTGATGTATGGTAGAATACTGATCACACCCATGATATGAGTCTGTATAATGTACTAAGTGTAGATTTCTAGCTCATGGCTTAAGCACTAGGTTTGACTCTAAACAGTCCCCATTCACAACCGATATTCCCTCCCTTACCAAAATAAAAAATAATGTGATTTATTATTATTTCAACCTCAGATTTCTTGGTCTTTGCTCATTTTCTGTGAAGAACATATAAAATAACCCATTTTCAGTGCCTTCACTCTGTTACACCCTACACATTTATATTACACATGTGGTGTTTAGGTAAACCTGCAGGGAATAAAAGTGTGGAGGTGCTGCGTCCTTCACTCTGTTCTCCTCCTACATGGCCTGCTGTTAATGTGTGTGTGTGGGTGTGTGTGTGTGAGAGAGGGTAGACAACATGGACAGGCTGCTGACTGGCTATAGCTGCTAAAGGAGAACCCTACGCTGGCCACTCATGATATTGTAAACATCTGGTATTTTCACCTAAATTGTTGTGGCTGTATTGGTTTAAAAAACAATAATGCGGTGGGTCCACCAGACCACTGAGTAACAAACACGTCAACACCACACAAGGGATAAAAATCAGTTAATTTTAATTGGATTATAAAATATACTACATATCCAAAAGTTTGTAGACACTGGCTTACAAAATGTTTCTACTGAAATCAGGAGTATTGATAGGCAGTTAGTCCCTCCTTTGCAGCAGTAAAAGCCTCAACTCTTCTGGGAAGACACTGGAAAGTTCACTTTACACTAAGTTCACTTGCATTCATCCACAAGAGCATTAGTGAGGCCAGGTATTGTTGTTGGCTGATCAGATCTGGATCACTCTAACTCATCCCAAAGGTGTTGAGCTCCATCACTCCAGAGAATGCAGTTCCACTGCTCCACAGCACAATGCTTTGGGGCTTTATACCCCTCAAGCCCAGTGTCTCTCATCCCTGGTCCTAGAGTTCCACTGCACTACACTTTATGGTATTTTCCTTGCTTTAATGCACCCACTTCAACTCAGTAAGTGGCTATTATAGAGATGACTGGTTGTATCAGTGTTGGGAGCAGGGATAACACAAACAGCGCAGGGCAATGGGCCTCCAGGACTATGGTTGAGAAACACTGCTCTAGGCTCATGTGCGGCTGCTCCATTCTATTAACAGTGCTTTTTATGGATTATACGAGATGTTTGCGCCTGTCTGGCCATAAAGAAGCTGAATTCGCTAATCAGAAGGAGTGTCAGTGTCTGTCTGTCTGCCATCCGCGTCATCCAGTGTAAAAATCCATACCGGGTTTCGCCCCTGCACTCCAGTCCAGACGCGCAGAGACTCCGTTCCAGGTTTTGTTGGTTTCGTTTCCCTCCTTTGTTTGGAGCGGTGGCCCATCAACACTCGGCTGAAGGCTCTCCGGCGGCCTGGACGTCTCTGTCCACTTCCCGCTCAGCTTCTCCGTTTTCGCCAGTCCCCCATTCTTCCGAGGCCGTGTGTCCTCATGTCTGTAGGAGCGGAGTGCGGTTTCTCCAGTGAGGAGGTGCTGAGCGTGCGCTTCCCCGTCCACAGGGCTTGCAGGGACGGGGACGTGGGCGCGCTCTGCTCGCTGCTCCAGCACATCAACCCGGCGGAGCTGAGCGTGGAGGACTCCTTCTACGGATGGACACCGCTACACTGGGCTGCACACTTCGGAACGGTAATATTAACATAACCTCTGCCCTCAGGTTACCCCTGAAAAACACGGAGCCGAAGTCAGCTTCTTGTTCCATTTAAGGTGGAACGGGAAAATTCGAACAAGCAGTCATTAATCTTAAGTAGTCAGTAACTATAACGGAACTAGTACGTGAATTGTGTAGTTGTGTAGTGAGAATGAGGAGCTGAAGTCTGGACCTATAAATATGTTATTACGGTTTAAGCCTGGTTTATGTTTTGAAAACGTGCAGTTAGCTCATTGCTGGTGAATAGAAAATGAACGCATTACCGCCATTAAAAGCACAGAAGAGTGGTTTGTGTTGTGTGGCTGACTTTCATTTTTAGAATTTTCCGTTCCACCTTAAGTGCCGCAGCAGTTACTTTCTGGCGCCTGTACCGTCTCCACAGCGCAGTGGGCCATTTAAGGTGGAACGGGAAATTCGAATCATCAGCTGCTTTAGCTACATACGCTCGAGCTGAGTGCTGAAAAGAAGGCATAGTCAAGGCTCAGCTCGTAGACTTTATTCATCTAATCTTGGCCAAATCTCTCTTTTTAAAGATGGTCTGAATAACTCAATCAGTTTGATGCTGTTAGATAAAAGAGGCCTGCGTGGCTTCAGTGTGGGGGGAAAAAACCCCACTGGCCTGCTCAAGCATTGGCCTACTGGCTGGCTAATAATAGACTCATAACCAAATCATGCTGGAAAGGCCATGACACACATTAACATATCTGTGCAGTATGGAATAAAACACCCTTCTCCACCAGCACCGCCAAAAAAGGTGATGTTACAGAAGCATGGTTTGCTTTTCTTTTCAAACAGCTGACACTCAGAGTGGAGAGGAACTTGTGCCAAACTGAAAACCAGTCACCTGAGTGGAAAAACGTGAAATGAAATGCACACATGGCGTTAGTTTTCAGTAGTGACATGCAGAATACATGCCAAAGTGAAAAACAAACCCTCTGTTACCTTGTTTTCAGGTTGCTTTACTTCTTTACTGGAAAGCAGTGCACAAGGAATTGCATTTTAAAAACGAAATGCTGAATTAGTGTCAGAATTGAATACAGTTCCAATGTAATGAAGGCACGGCTATATTGTTTTCCACCGTGCAGTCAAATGTAATCAAAACAGTAAAAATACAATACACACGTGACACGTAATATCTACTATTACTACTACTACTATTAATATTAGTAGTATTATAATTTTGTAGGTAGTTTGACCAGAGGAGGATGGGTCCCCCCATGTGAGCCTTGGTTCCTCCCAAGGTTTCCTCCCCCCAGCTCTGAGGGAGTTTTTCCTTGCCACTGTCGCCCCTGGCTTGCTCACCTGGAGGATTTACATTTCATGTTGAAACTTTGTTCTAAACGGATTTCTGTGAAGCTGCTTTGTGACAACATCAGTTGTAAAAAGCGCTATACAAATAAATTTGACTTGACTGACTTGACATTGCTTTTCCACAGGTGACTTTTTTTGCAGAATATGTTCCCAAATAATAAGCAAAACCTCTCTTGCAGTGTTTGTATGTCTCTTGACCTTTTTTGTACTTTGTACTTTTTTCACTGAAATGCAACTAAAACAGGAAAAATGCGGTAACATGCAGAAAACAGGCCAAGCTGAAAAGTAGAACACTGATTTTAAGCTGTTTTAAGTACTGCACAGTGGAAACCACTATAGTTGTGCCTTTATTAAATTTGAAGGTGGACTGTATTAAATGCTGACATGAGTTCACCATGTCACTTTTAAAATTAAAATGTTATAAATTGTTTTTCAGTATAGAGGTCAAGCAAAATAAAAACAATGTAATAGAGAGTGTTGTGTGTGTTTTTTTTTTTGTTTTTTTTTGGCATATATTCTGCATGTCCCGATGGGGAAAGTACTACTTTAGTAATGTCATGTGTGCATTGCATTTCATGTGTTTCCTCTGTAGCGATTGCTTTTCAGTTCGGGACAAATTCCTCTCCATAACTGAGGCCCAACGGTGGGCTGATAATGTGGGCTAGGTGGCAAAGTTACGGTCATAAAGTAATTCATTGTAGATGAAAACATTTTCTTTCCTTATCCATGCATTGCTTGTGCAGGGCCTGCAGGTGTCTTACAAAAACAGTGCCTTCTGTTGAACACTCTTGCAGAATGAAGGTTCTTGGATTAAACATACAGTTCTACAAAAAAAATATTAATTAGTATGTAACCCTTACTTTATGTGGAGGTGGCACAGACTTTTATGAAGCTTTTAACCCTCACACATCTCATTTCCAAAAATAGTTCTTTAAAGAAAGTTCAAGTTTAAAGGTTCTTTAGGGAGAAAAGGTGATTCTTCTATGACGTTTTTATGACGTTTGTTTTTAAGAATGTCATTTGCCATAAAAATATTTTTTTTTCCTGTTAGCATTCAGCCTTGTATGCTTGTCTTGGCTTTGAGCCCCATAATTCACCAGTAAGCGATGCCATTAAGCGTAGTGTTTTCTCAGGTGCTCGTATTGCACATCGTCTACTGGTCAGAGTTGAGGACCACAGCTCCCAACAGCATGAATTTGGATTAGTCATGCTTGGGCGTTAAATGGTACTGGCCATGTTAGGTTTTTGTCCACAGTCAACATGGTAACCCACAGAGATGATGTGTCATGTGAAACGATGATGAATGAAGACACTGTTACTCTTACCGTAACACACACACTGTGGTTTTATACAACACAGGTGTGTATGCACCCTGTCAGTCGTCAAGATAACTTACAAAGCTCGTTTATGAGGTTTGATAAGGTAATAATAGCTCAGGCTGCTCTCTAGACAAACACAGAGGGTGGAGCTGCCATGTATGTGTATCTTGTCAGTTAAAGTATGGGAGTGGTGCTGCATGGGCATAGTTTCAGGGGAGTAACAGGAAATATTACATGTTTTCAACTATCATTTATCATTTGTTTTTCCTCACTCTGACTACTATACATGTTTTAAGAAGTGCTGTTTAAATGTTTAAGAACCATATTAATGAACATTTTTAGATCATAAACTTGCTTTTTGGAGAGGTTCCCATTGGCTTGTATGTGTTTTTTTCTTTTCTTTTTTTTTTCTTTTTCTTTTTTCTAGCTCTAATCTTCAGCAAACTCTGCAGGGAAATAGACCCTAGTGCAGGGTTAAGCACTGTAGATCCTCTATGCATATGGTTGCATCCTCTCAAATGAGTAGTATTTTGGCCCGAAGTCACTTAAAACTCTAGATGTTGCAGTTTTTGGGACTTATTTTGTCAGAGTGCTGGTGCGGCAGGCATAGAAATAGTTCTATCTGATAACGTTTAGTTATCAGTGTAGTGTATCGAGGTGGGGAATATGACAATATTTTATTGTCTAATCAACAATATGCTTTTCTTAGCATATTGTGGAAAATGTTCATATAAAAAAAAACACTCACTGCTTGTTTGATTACAAAGAGAAAATAGTCTTGTTTAATTGGATTTAGCTCAGCTCAGTGTGTAAAAGTTTGAATAAAAGTCTTTGGTAGCAGTTTTTAATTGTAGTGCAGTGCATTGTGTTGTGTTTGTGTGTCAAAATATTGTGGTACAAATTGTGTATTGTGAAATTTTATTTACATATCATGGTATTTTTGCCATTTTGCTGGCCTATAGTAGTATATAACCTTTTAAGATGTAAATAAATTGAAAATCGAATTGAATTTTGTCCCCAGCATTGAAAATAAATAATATTGAACTTGAATATATGTATTTTGTTACACACCTAGTGCATCAGTGTGTGTGCAAGCTAAAATACAGTACTAAACTATTTATAGTAATTACAATATTTCCAATATCAGAATAATAATTAATTATTACAGTTTTTTTTATTTATGTAGCTGAGAATACATTGAGCCACCAAAAAAAATCATGCACACCCATTGAGCAATGCTGTACTATTTAGGTCAGCCTGTTCTGTTGTTCATAGATTTTTGTGTTCTTGCTTTTTGTGTCCTTCGTGTTTGTTTAATTAGTGTTCTCTCCATGCTCTCTGATTTCACACAGCTGGAGTGCATCATGCAGCTGGTACAGGTGGGTTGTGGAGTGAACTCTGTGACCTCTCGGTTTGCCCAGACGCCTGCTCACATCGCTGCCTTTGGTGGCCACCCACAGTGTCTGCTCTGGCTGGTGCAGGCTGGGGCTGACATCAACAGACAGGTTGGTTACCCTTAAACTTGGATCCATGTTCATAAAGCCTCTCAGAGTAAACACGCTGATATAGCAACAGCTGCTTGGTCTTAAATTATCTCTGATTAATCTGAGAAGCTTGATATTTGAGAGAGAAATGCTGCCTGGAAGCTGGCTGTAATATTTGAACATGTTGGGTCAGACCTCCTAGCATGTTGTTGACTTTCTGCAGTTCTGCTGGATTATTGCATGGAAATAGTTAGGCCTGTTTTTATGTCTGTGATGGATGAGACTGACTAACTGAACCATTGTGTCTTCTGTGGTTTCGTCCCACAATACCCTGGCACACATCCATCATGGAAGTGTAGCAAGCAATTTGTTTTCTAGCAAAGAAGCCATGTTGTCTCCTATACTTCTGTTAATGTATTGCAGTCTATCTGAATGACTAACTATGTTCAAAATATCCTAATACAAGTGTGTGTGTGTGTGTGTGTGTGTGTATATATATATATCTCTCAAACTCTGTTTCATTGATTTAAGTGAAAATAAGCTTTCCTCTACAGAGAACACACTTGTACACATTTTAATAAACAATTACTGTTTAGTTTGTGAGTTTTACATATTGGAGAAGAGAATAAAACAAAAAGTATGGACTGTGCCAAAGTTATTGTTGGGGGGGGTATAACAAACTCAGCAAATAAAGAGAAATTGTGCACTAAAATAATCAGTAAAGTACCATATAAATGTATTCTATGTACAGTGTGTCAACTTGCCTTCACTTAGAAATTCGACAAAACATGAAATTTGACTGGATTATTTATACTTTTGCATGTGATTGTAATTATGCATGACTCATTGTGCTAAATAGCTAACTGCCTCTTACCTTTGATAAAGCACTTTATTTGAGTCATGTTATTTAAATAGCTGATTGTCATTTGTCAATTTATGCCAGTTTGCCCCATTACAGAGCAAGTAATGTTATTTATTTGGTGACTTGGGCTAATAGAAAGTATACTGGTGTGTTTCATGTGCTAATGTAGCCCACACAGTGTGTCCTTCAGGCTGGGGGGGAGGAGACTACTAAAAAATTGGCCCAAAAAATAAACCATCGGCCAATTTGGCCACGAAGACATAGGAAGCTGCATCGGCCATAAATATTCCAATTGGTGCGTCTGTAATGTGTACTACTGTGAAGAAAAGCATACCTTGTACAGCTTACACACTATAGAGTACGCAGATTTCTGTTTTAAATACAGTCTGTGTATCATATGAACACTGTGGGGCGCATAGAATGGGGATACACAAAGAAAATTTGAATCATATCAGTATCGGCGAATATATTTGGCCGATAGGAAGTTTAAAAACCCTGTCTTTCTTGTCTAATTCACTTTTATAATAGTCTGTATAAATAGCAAAATCACTGAAAATTTAATCCATCGTATTTTTATAGACTTCTTCTTTAGAATATTCTATTCTTGCCAGATTGCTAGAGCTGACCTGGCCCAACTGAAAATGCCAGATGTTTTATGGAATTGAACGAATCCTATTATAAAGGTGAAGACCCCCGCTCCTAAATCTGACACACAAAGAATTAAACGTAGGGCTAAGTAAGTCTGTCTGATCTGCCAGCACAAGAGCTGAGTTCACTCTGAGGTTGTGTCTGAGCACCACATGTCCAATCATGTTCACATTTCTTCAGCACCCTGTGCCTCCCTGTATTTTCCATGTGTGTGAGAATTAGTATTGCTTATCTCAGACATATTTCCGACTCCACTTTCTCAGACGCTCCGCCCGACTTTGCCCTTTGATGCCTCGGCTGCGCTGCGCACAGATTAGTGGGTCAACAATATGCAACTGCTGAAGCTGTGCCTTTTTTCCTAGTATAATCTCATCTACATCCTCTCTTCTTCTGTCTGCCCCCTTGGTAACCTTACATCAAGTTGATTATGATCATGTAGAGACCTGACTGGTTCTCCTTCACCCTGTGACCAGTTTCTGTGCTCAGGCTCTTCTGTTTTCTGCTCTGTGCATAGAGAGCAGTGATGCTTGACTCTGGGCTGACCTACATTCTCCTCCCATGAGTCACAGTCAAGGCTGGAGGGCTTCAGTGATGTTCGGCCAATCTCTTTATCTCTTGTGTGCTTTTTATGGGTTTCTCTCAGGGTGAGCAGGTCGTGGCTCCTTATGGGAAAGTGTCACTTGTCTGGCCTATTTACTGGGGATCTGTCAGTTGAGGATTGGGATTGAGATGGGGTCTCGGCCGTGAAGCCTGATCTAGTTTCCGGTCCTATGTTTCTTGTTTTTATGTGTTTTATGTACTCCACCGTCGCCGTAAACAGACATTATCCGCACCTAGAAGCAGTGACTTGTGTTATGGGAAGTTAACAAAGGCATATAAATGTCTGTAGTGTGGAACTGTTTCACAGTGGAATATGAAATCTCTGCAGTACCAGTGTTTTAAGTGTATTTGAGCAAGTCACGTTTCGTCCAAGAACTGGCACAAAAATGTGAGCAGGGAGCTGTTGTGCTTTGAGTCTGTTTTTTGCAAATTAATATGAACTGGATGCCACGTAAACGATACCCTCCCACCACGTTTTCATTCGTAAATTGCAGCCAGTTGAAAATTAAACTCGGCAGAAAGAACATGTTCAAAACTCAGAGAAAGAGAGCTACTGTGCTGATTTAATTATCCTTTTTGTTAACTGTTAAAGTACAACCCTAAAGTGGCAAAGTTGGCTGATTTATTTAAGCTTTGACCTTAAATAAATGGACATTACCCACAGCAGCCTTCTAAAGGTGTTGGACTGCATTTCCAGCTTTCATTTATTTATGCATTTTTGCTTCAACTGAATGAATGAAAATTCACCCGATTCATGTATTGCACATATTAAAAATGAGGTGATTTCACTGCAGCATTATAAAGTAACTGGTAGCCAAATCCAGCTGAAGTCCACAATGTCGCATTATAGACATGCCAAAAACTCAGAGATTGTAACTTTTTTTGTCAAGTACTTTTTAAAGTACTTTGATTGGTGTGGGGGGCAAAAATATATCAGGACATTCTTACTATTTACTGGTATTGATTGCAGAGTATTGCTAAAATAGAAATGTTATAAATGCAGCTGCCATATGTTGGGTTTTACCAAATAGAGCAATTTTGGTTCTAGAGGGCCGGTTCCAGCACAGTTTTTCCACATTGTCCTGCTTTAACATGCCTGATTGAACTCTCAATTAATTACTAGGTTTAGTTGGTGTGTTACATTGAAAAATCTTCAACCTGTGCTCTCAGAACCAGGAGACCCCTGAAAAATAGACAGAGCCTTTTAAAACACATTAGCCCTGGTCTCAACTGGTTGACCACATTGAGACTGATATCAGTGCTATGAGAAGTCCGTGCTCATCATCTTTTTTTCTTTTCTTTTTTTCTCTTTTCCCTCTACTTTCTTCTCATTTTCCTCCTTTTATTCTCTCCCTCTCATCACTGCTCCTTGCATTCACTTCTGTCTTTTCTTCAGGATTATGTGGGAGAAACCCCCATCCACAAGGCAGCCCGTGCTGGTAGCATTGAGTGCATTAACACTCTCCTGATCCAGGGGGCGAAAGCTGAGTAAGTCCAAACTCATAGCTGGTCACCTCTTTTAACTGCATCTCTCTACCCTCAGCATCCCTGAAAGTACCACACTGGCACTTTTTATTCAGGAAGGACTCCCATCAAAAATCCCTTTCCAGCTGCTCAAGTTAGACGAACAAGAGGCGCAATGGATTCCTGTTAGTCATTAGCCTTTAGCCAAGGCCCTTCGCTGAACTCGATCTTCTAATGTTCGAAGTATACGTCCAGTGTGGATCCAAGTCCATCTATACAGCATAAAGCAGCCATTATTTTTGGCTGTGGAAGAACAAAAGTCCAGCAATTTTCCCTGATCTGACATTCCTAATTCAACTCATCAGTTAATTGACCGTTTGCAAAATTCAGAGAAAGTCCCGCCTCCCTTAGTTATTGTTGCTATGTCTGTCAAGCTTTCAGCTCAGGCCACCTGGTAGCATCAGTGACTTCTGAGCTAACAACTAAAATGTTCAGTAGCGCAAAGGTGAATGTAGAAGCGTGCAGAGTACATTTTAAACCATGTTTCATTCAAAAATAAACTGGCCTTATAAGTTGATGTACGTATTTGAGAACTGAGAAGTTACGCATACATGCCAGCTTAATGAAAACAGAAATTCTGGTGACCGTATTTACATTACTCAACCAGGGAAAACGTTCAGTCACTCAAAGTTAAAGTGGCAGGTTGTAATGTCTCATAAGGAGGAGGTTTTAGCGACAAAGCTGCCTTTTCAGATGGACTAGTGCTGGAGCTCCTCAGATTCAGATTAACATTAGATGCTGAGGAGAACTTGTTCTGTACACTAGGTCTTTTAGCAAACATTAATAAAATTAAAGTGTGGGAGCTGTACAGTCCTGTTAAAGCTGACTGATTTATCAAGATAAATGTCAGCAGCTGAATTAAGAAAAGCAAACTAGTAAGCTGACTGATCTGAACATTATTTATAGTTAGACATCATATTAAGATATTTATAAGCAAATACAGTAACCCACATAAAGTTTAGCTTACCAAAGGGCCAGTATAATTCTGCCCGTTAATAGTTTTGAACTTCAGGAATGAAACAAAAACACCACCATCCTCCAGGTGATCAGAATAGTATGTGTCGGGCATTATTCATTCCTCAGTAACACATTTTCCCTATTTCTTAGTCTAATAATTCTGATTTACTGCCACAGGCATTTCTAGTGCAGATTTTTGTTTGCTTTGCTTGACGGAGGTAGAAATGTTGAGATGAGTGTGATCATATGAAATGGGTGTCAGTTGTAATTCTGCAAACGGTTAATTACCAGGTTTAATTGGTGAGGGACAGAAAAGAAATATCAAGCAAATTTTTGTTTTACACATTTTTGGCCTCAAACCACTCAGTTTACATTTTCTACATTAGCATTACAGTTTGGATTCACAATTCAAAGTTTAAGGTCACTGATTTTAGTAATTAAAATAAATAAATAATTAAAAAGTTGAGATTATTCTACACTAAAGTCATTGTAGGAAGCTGTGAAAAAAAAAAAAAATTATACACAACAGGCGTCGTCACAAAGCAGCTTCGCAGAACATCCGGTTCTGAGTCCCAGATGAGCAAGCCAATGGTGACAATGGCATGGAATAAGCTCCCTAAGAGCAAGAGGAAGAAACCTTGAGAGGAACCAAGGGGAATTTTGGTGGAACCCATCCTTCTCTGGTCGACATTGGATAACAGAACAATTTTAGATGTGTCCACGGTGATGAACAGAGCTGTAGAAGATGGTTTAATGACTGAATGCATATAACTTGTCAAGAAATTACTATAAAAAATAATTACTATGTATTATTTATCATTTAATAAATGATGGTGTCTAACTTAAAGTATTTCAATCTGCAGTATAAGTGGAACCTGAATAAAATAATAGCAATTAAGAGTAATTTACCTATTATAAGTCATTTCAAACTCCAGATGGTTTGCGCAAACCCATAAACACATCTCAGGTTTAAAAGAAACTGAACTGTAATATTCAGTGTAGTCTAGTAAACAAGAATTAAGCTGACACAACAGCACAACTTGCATGAAAGAACAGCTGAAGATGAAACATCCCTGTATGGCCAGCTGGGAGAATTCTGTACTGTAAACTGACAAATGTTAATATTGTACCTTTTAACCAGCTGATGATGGTGCAGGGTTAAAGCCATGCTATAAAAGCCAAAACTGCTGATGTGAATTGAGCAGTTACTATAAATGAAGGATGTGTTGTTCATTTCTGTCCCAAGCTCTAATCTGAGGTGACCGTATCTGTCCTAATAGCAGGTGCAGTACAAATAAATGTCCTACTGCTCCTGACTTCTAGCTAGTTGGTGTGCTCTCAGTTGCATTTATTTTAGTGATAAACAAGGGTGTGGTAGAAAGCAGGAAGTTCAGAGCTGTGGAACACTTCTTCATACTGCACCTGACTTTAAGACTGATACTGATGAGTTTAGCCCATGATCTAGTAGAAAGCAGTTTTTTGAGCAGCTTAACAACCTTCATCATACAGAATCTACAATAGTAGAATTTCATAGCCTTGACAAAAGATCAGTTCTGGCAGAACTAACCCCAAGTTATTTTGAAAAACACTTGTCCCAAAACCAGTAAACAAAAGGGTTAATAAGAGGGTTTATGTCCTACACAGAAGCTTTTCATCTCATTTATATTCTACTGCTATTAAATTGTTCTCTTCCGCTAAAGTTGTCTTTAAATAAAATCATTAAAATTGAACATATCGAATAATAGAATGTAAGTCATCAAAAAAGTATTTGATAAAATATTCAAAAATGTCCGTTATTAGACTCATCAAACATGTTTGGGATCAAAAATCTATTTTTGATGGGAGTCCTTCTTGAATATTTGTCCAGACAGAAAAGAATTAATGTCCTAATGTGACTATTGCTAAATGTGTCTTGTTATACTCTGAATTGGGAAGTTTTTACCATTTTTACATTGTGTGTTGCAATATGTCATCAGGTGCTGAGGTAATGTCCTTTTTGTTTTCTTTCACTTTGAGTTTTTGGTAAGTGTGTTTTTATGACCCGGCTGCAAAGCTGAATGCACATTTCCTCATTGTTTCAAAGCACAGGTCCTTCGCTGCTGATCCACTGTTCCTTGTTGAGAGATGCAAAATGGGAGAGATGCGAGTGCTTTAGACGCCGCACTGATGATAAACCAATTAAGCTCTCTGAAAGGCTATTGCAGGGTATTAGCCTGATTTGCTTAGTGTACTCATTCAGTTATTTGAAATGAAGCAGCGTTTTGATATCAAATAGCAAGTAAGGGACGAGCTGCTGTTCAACAGTATTTTTGTACCACTTTAAATTTAAAACACATTGGGCATTAAACACTTTCAAAATTTAAAAGTAAATTTAAAGTTAAGTTAATTCATGAATCTACATGAATAGTACAAATCGTCACTGACAATTGGCTGAATATCCCAACAGGCTTAGCACTCATTTGATAAAGACTACTGTATTAAACTAATTTTAACCTTTTCCCCTTTTAAATAAGACGTTCTCTGCACATGACCAGGTACAGCAGAACTGAGTTCAGGAAAGTTCTGGTAATTAGATTTACCCTTAATTAATACATTCCAGAGAGAGCTTTCTGCAGAACCTAATGGATTATTAATATTCATTAGTCTACATAACTTCAGCGTGTTGCAACAAGACGCCCATCCTTTGATATTTGATACTGAAACATTACAGCTACACCTGTTCTTTGTTCGTGTTCATGTTTATGGGTGTTGTGCGTAGTTCAGATGCACCAGCCTCCAAACTGGTGGGACCTGAAATATGTGCATGGCTAATTGTCAAGGGTTTCCTCGACCTGGATTAATACAAGTCTTGGACTAAATTGCAGCACCAGTGGTGGATTACCATTAGAAACTCTTTTTAGTCTAGGCTTAGGCTTAGGCTTAATCTGGGTCTGGGAAGCAGGCTCTTAAAGTTTACTTGGGTCAACAGAGTCCTTGTTGCTCATTCTGAAGACTATATAGCGGTCTCACCATTTTATATCTCTCCACAATGAGAAGTCTGATTATTTTAATAGAATTATTCCAGTGATGCTCTTAGATGCTAATAGGTATCTGCAGTTTCACAGAAGCACCATTTTATGCTTAATGACTTAAACTGGTGATCTTGTGGTTGCTGTACTTTTGGATAATAACATTTGACATTTTAGCTTGTGGATAGTTTCAAACTTTACATTAAATTTTACAAGTTCAGTTCTAATATTTTAACTGAAAGTTTTCAGTGTCACATTATTAGACTGAATAGCATCCATTAGTGTTCACATTAGATTCCTTTAAAAAACAAATCTTAATGCAAATGGCTTAAAACTAAAAGATAAGCACAAGCTAAAGTGTCTTAAACTTACCACACCAAATCAATTGTGATTGTTCTAGAATGTATATCACTAAATACTCACAGTAACAACCTGCAGTGCTGTGAAAAAAGGAAATATTTTTGCATGTATTTGAGACTGAATTGATCATTAAACAACCCAGTGACCACATTGACCACAAAATTAGAACAAATTACATACTGTACATGTTCATCTGATTTGGGAAAAACACATTTTCTCAGGCTTGAACACAATTTTAATAATACAGTTATAAATCAGTCACATCTCATTTTTTTTTTTCTTTTTCAAGATTGCTTGACTGATTCAAAACATTAAACATTGAGTTAATTTAACATCAGCTCTTAACGCTTTTAATTCCAGTAATTAGAAATCACAACTTCATATTCAATGATCTAATTTTAATAAATATTCCAGATTTATTAACTAATTTAAAAATCTAATCAGAATTACAATTTACATTCAAAGCAAAATAACAGGCACAACGCTTGCTATTTGTCATCCTTTGCTTACTAATGCAACACAGTTGTTATTAGAATTATTAGACTGAATAGCATCTGTTACTGGGGAAAAAACTCAAATCAGAATGTGCAGTTTTTCATGGCACTGTGGTGAGTAAACTGTCCTTTTTTTAAATATTTA